AGAGATTCAAACAGAAATAATATGAGTGTCTTTTTCTCCTGTATCTCATATTCCATTTTGAAAGAAAAGACTTTTTTTTTTTTTTGGCGACAGAGTTTCACTCTATCACCCAGACTGGAGGGCACTGCCAGGGCTCGGCTCACTGCAACCTCCGCCTCCTGGGTTCAAGCAATTCTCTTGCCTCAGCCTTCCAAGTAGCTGGGATTACAAGCACATGCTATGACACCCAGCTAATTTTTTTGTAGTTTTAGTAGAGATGGGGTTTCACCATGTTGGCCAGGCTGGTCTCGAACTCCTGACCTCGTGATCCACCAGCCTTGACCTCCCAAAGTGTTGGGATTACAGGTTGTGAGCCACTGTGCCTGGCCAAGAAAAGCCATGTAATTATATCTGAGGAGTTCATCAATACCATATACTTGTCTGAGATGATGTAACTGAGTGGCATGTCCCTTAAGAGCTACAGGGCATAAGAATAGAAAGAATTCATCATTGCCAAAGGTTCCTAGAGGACATGAAGATAAGCTTTTTCTTGAAACATGAATAGAATTTGAAATGAGAAAAAAGGGGTAGAGATATTTAAAAAGAGAGAGATGGCATGGAGAAGATCTATAAGGCAGTAAGAATCTTGACGTGTCCCTGCGATTGTGGGAGTATTAAATTAAATAAAGTGCAAGATGCCTTTTGGTCCACGTCAGAAAAAAAAAAGTTAGAAATACAATTTCAGGTAAAAGCAAATTCCTCCAGAGTTCAAGTAGGTAAATTAAGTGAGTGAAGAAGACTGGGTATATAATGAGAGAGAGTGGAAGAGACTATGGCGTGGTAGAGACCATGGCCAAAGCTCATGAAAAAGAGGACACCACTAAGCTCCAGCCAATTCCAGTGAAAATTACGTTGATCAGAATTCCACTGGCCATATAAAAATTTCTCTCTGAGTCATATCTAGTATGCAGACTACTAATTTTCAATCACTGCTGGACTGCAGAGGGTAAGGACTGCTAGAACTAAAACCTTTAATTTTTATAACTACTTAAGGTTGTAGGACAGAGCTGCAATAGAGAAAAAGTAGCATTTTTTTTTTTTTTTTTTTTTTAGACAGAGTCTCACTCCGTCACCAGGTGCCAGGCCAGAGTGCAGTGGCACGACCTCAGCTCACTGCAATTTCCTCCTCCTGGGTTCAAGCACTTCTGTCTCAGCCTCCCTAGTAGCTGGGACTACAGGCATGTGCCACCACATCCAGCTAATTTTTTGTTGTTGTTGTTAGTAGAGACAGGGTTTCATCATGTTGGCCAGGATGGTCTCGATCTCTTGACCTCGTGATCCACCCACCTTGGCCTCCCAAAGTGCTGGAATTACAGGCGTGAGCCACCGTGCCCAGCCAAAAGTAGCATGTTTTAATCAAGCTACAGAATGTAACATAGGTATATGTAAACTATATTAAATGAAAGGGAGTCGGTAGGGGTTACCAACTGCTATTAAAGTTTTTGCAAACTAAGTTTTAAATGAAATACACCTTACAACTGTATCTGCTGTTTAAACTGGACTAAACAATTTACAATCAAATTTTAGAAAACATTTATTGGCTTAAAATTTCTTCCAACTGTTTCATTTGCTTTTGAAACAAAAAAAAAAGTAACTATATGGCACTTGTCCATTCTAAGGAGGAGGGAATTCTGGATATGCACTTTCCAGGCTTGGCCTCATCAGATACTTGATGAATGAATCTTTATTTGCCATCACTTCCAATTGCCAACAGTGGATGCCACCAGGATATCTTGGTCACATTCATTTATGTACTGTGCCTGATCTGTTTTGGTCCATGAGTCTGGCTAACAGTAAAACCAGGTGGAGCTTGGAGGTTTACAACAGATGCTTTGGGGCTTGCAGATTCCTGAATTTGATAGAGTTCATAAATCACACAAAAATGTCCTATGTCAGTCCACTTCTAGTTTAGGTTTTTCTCCAACATAGTACAAAAGAACTGAAGTTGACACTAAGAGCATAATTTGTAAACCTTCACAATATAAATAGAAGGTTTATTTATCAGAAAAGCTAATATGTCTTATCTTCTCCATCAATAATTCCTGACAGGAGGAGGAGCTGAGTAACAGGTAAGAATGGGGTGGAATAAAGAATTTCACGTGAAGATTACAATAGTATGCTTCTATCTCAGTGCAATGTAACATTCCAGATGTTGACTACATTTCACTCAAAGGCAACTGTTAGAGTATGTGAATAATATAAATTTCTGAGATATAATAGGGCAGCCCTACTTTTTAATGCTGAGAAAATACTTAGAAGACCATCAAATTTTGAAAATATACTAATGAGCTACAGAGTCTGATTAAAACCAAAGGTGTTATGTTTTAAAAACATTCTTTGTGATTTACATAAGTATGGCTTACATTTCATCATTTATGACAATACTTTAAGGCAAATTTTGCAAAGATAGAAAACTCTCGGTAATAAAAACAATTCACAATAGCTCGTCATTAAGTCATTTTCAAAAAGCAAGTTTAAGACCTGAAGACTGTGTAAAAGAAAAGGAAACAGAGAAAAACAGTCCCCATATATTACTGTTCACTTGCTAAAAAGTAAACTACTAAGGCCTCAGAACACAAAACATGATATTTTCAATTATTTAATTTGATAATTATTTATAAATAATAAGTCCATCTAGATGTGAAGCAGATGCAAACAAAGGTGAACATCTCCTGTTAGCAAATTGTGGAGGACAGAGTAGTTGGAAGTATCTTTCATAGACAATACCTCCATGGGAAAGAACATTTTCACATTTTTCAGTTTTGGTTAAGATCAAACTGATCTAATTAATTAGCTTTCTCATCTAATTTATTGCTCAGAATTCCCTTTAGTGAGGCCTGCTTTTCATAAATTTGAAGGAAAGCTATTTGGAGAACAGTCTGGAATTAGACAAAAACAAAAATGGAAAGCTTTTCAAAGATACACCAAAAATTATCTAAGTAACGAAATTGGAATGTCATAAACTATACTGTTACACTATTAATAAGGTGCTATTTATATACAATAACCCAGACTTATAAAATTCATTATATTTGGGATATATAGGACATAATTTATCTAGAGAATTTTAATTAAAATTATATATAACTAATTAGAGGAAAAAAGCCTTTTTTCTCTTCTGAATGTGATAATGTAGCCATATTGATTAGCTATCTGGAAAGGTCATTGTAAATCAAAGAGGTATTAACAAACTTGTAATTAAGTGCGTAAATAACTTTGTTTCATTATTTTCTGATTTTGGAATGACTGCAAAGAGTGGCATACTCTTGCCTATAGAGCATAAAACTGTAAACCTGGTACCTCCAACGGACATTCTAAATCAAAAAGAGCATGCTTGTTAAGTCTAACATGATTACAAAACTGAGACTGAGGCAAAATATTAGTCCAGCTAGATTTTACCTAATCAATTCCTGATAGGAAATTATTTGTATTAAAAAAAAAAAAAAAAAAAAAAAAAAAAACCCTGTTACATTCTTTTACTTACATTCTATTATCAGAGGATATAAAAAAAATCAGGGACCCAGATAACTCAGTACTTGATTGTGACCAACAAGAAAGGAGTGCTTAAATTTAGTTTAGGGAAGAGATACTGAATGACCATAGCACAATCATCTTTTTAAACAAGTAAATATATTACCACAACTTACTGAAAAATTAACTTCTATGTGTACTATGTGCCCTATTGACATCGGTGACTTTGGGGAGTGGCTATAGAAATATAAACTTAATATCAACAGTTTTATCTTTCCTGATCACATTGTTAGAATTTCTTTATTTTAGAAATATTTCAAACAGATAATAAGAAAACTACATACTAAGATTCATCAATGATTTTGTTTATCAACTTCAAGAAAAACAGCAAAACTGATCATCGATTCCCTGCAAACCTTGCTAAGCTTGCCTTGCAGCATAGTGCTTCAGACCTAGTCTCTAGTGAATATTACTCAACTGTTGGTTTGTTTCTCTTAATTCATTTCAAGGACTGGCTTCAAAAATAAAAGAAAAATTTAAAAATGACTCATCCCTGTCTCATCTACTCCTTTTGCTAAACAATGTGCATATCAAATTTCATATTCCATATGCATAGCACAAAGAATGATTCTCTAGGATCGATAACTTAAGTACGGAATTTCAAATATTTTAGGAATCACAGAGGCACCATCATCCTAGTGTTAGGAGGTGAGAGTAAAATTATTTAACCTAAAGATTTCACAAATTCACAAGGGTTTCCACAAGAAGGAGTTCTGCTATCATGACTTATACAAATAGTTGATTGTCCTCATTGTTTATGAATCCATATAAATTCAGACACTTCTGTAAGTTTCTTGGAGAAATATTAACAATAGTTCCGAAAACGTCATTTTACTGAAAGAGTCAAAAACTAAGCATTTACTGGCTGATTTTAGAAAATATTACTTGAGCGCTGCAACCAAAACAAAATACTGGTTCCACATTTCTCACGCAATCAAAGAAGATTATGTGCAAGAACAAATTGCTGTTTTGCAAACAGACTGCAGATGAAAGTAAGAACATTTCTCTGGCAACACAGGACAGACTTCCTGTGTTTAAGTAATGTAAACAAAAACCTGCGGATATCAACGATACAGTTAACAGAGGGTTTGGAGACTATCACATACTTAAAACCATGCCAGCCCAATTGTATCTCCTAACAGATAAGGCATTAATAAACATTCTAAGTGGTTTCTGGCTAAGGCCTGTGGGTAATTTATATAATGCGTATATTTGTAGAAGACCTCTTTTCACCAATGAATATATTTACTTCTCAGAGATAAATTTCAAATCGTATAACCACAGTGTGCCAGCACTGATCAGATAGTATATAGCAATGTATGTCAAAAGAAGCAACACAAACTGAAATCTTTCCCATATGTATGAATATTTGGTAGCTATGTAGATTCAAATATGAGAAAAAGTGCAGCTGTTATTGGCAGTGGACTTACCAGTACTTGTAAGGAAGTTCACATTTCTCATTACACCTTCAGTGTAAGCCCCGGGCTCGTAACTGTCCATTTCACCCGTGACGATGTGAGCAACTCTTGCTGCCCGGCCTCTGATAGCACCCGCAGCACGGTCTAAATTATCAGCATCCTGGTCTCTTAAGGCTATGATACACTTGTTGACATCTTCCAGGATATGGCTTTCTGTAAGCAAATCAATTAAATTAGCTTTTGTGTGTGTGTAAAATCATACAAATATAGCATATTATATTAACTTCTGACTTCAGATAAAGTGCACACTGGAAATGAAGGACTTTGAGAATTATTTTTTAAAAAATGGAGTCATATTTTGCTTATATCCCTTTACCCTTTAATAGCAAAACCCATGAAATATAAAATGTTACATTTTTAAGATAAATTTATATTGACTGCACATTATTTCAGATTCCAGTTCCAGTAGATTAGATTTTAGAGTGACATAGGGGTAGAAATTAAAGAGTTTCTTAATTAAAATGAAAATAAAATATGTTATGATGAAATGCTATATTGTGAATGAAAGCAATATTATAAAACTTATATATACATAAGGTTTTTAAAAGATTGATTTAAACAAGTGAATTCCAGAGAAAGTTGCCTACTCTGAAGAGTGTCTCCTGACCTCCTCTCCATTCTTCTTTAGATGAGTAGGGCATGAAGCTAGTAGGAAGTTATTGTAGCACAATAATATTTTCTTTCTCTATAAACTGATTAATACTCCCGGATAAAACTAACGAGTGAAGATGTGCAAATATGTGGAATATCAACAAACATGGGCAATGATATTTCTAAGAAATTAAAACAATACTAAAAGAATTACTGTTTTGGCTTCTGGCCTTATCACATGAATCCCCACCTAATATCCTTAACAACTATTTCTTTAAAACATATGCAGAGAACTTTTATAACAAAAAGATCTCAGGAATTCCAGAGCGTATTATTAGCTCTTTTTCTCTCTCTGTTGGTCTCTCTCTCTTTCTGTCGGTATCTCTCTTTCTGTCCTTCTCTCTATCTGCTTGTGTATATGTTTTAACTGTGTGTGTGAGCTACAGAGGACAATCACTCCTCGGATTCCTTACAGAATCACTTTTCCCTCTTATTGTACAGAAAATAAAATCAGACTGGGTGTGGTGGCTCACACCTGTAATCCTAGTACTTTGGGAGACCCAGGAAGGAGGATGACTTGGAGCCAGGAGTTTAAGACCAGCCTGGGCAACACAGCAAGACCCTTTCTATACAACAAAATAAATTTAGCCAGGAGTAGCAGCATGTGCCTGTAGTCCTAGCTACTTGGGAAGCTGAGGTGGGAGGATTGATTGAGCCCAGGAGTTAGAAGTTCCAGTGAGCTTTGATCATGCCACTACACTCCAGCCTGGATAAGACAGTGAGGCTCTATCTATCTATTTATCTATTAATATGTATATTTAAAATTTATTTATAAATTTATTCATATATTTAAATTATATGTATATAATTTTTTTAAAAAAGAAAATGAAGTCAAACTGCCATTGAATATGGTCCCTATTGACTTTTTGAGACCTGACTCCTACCATTCTGCTGCAGGCCCCTATGTTTCAGTTATACATATTTTATGATTTCCAAAATCCTTCGTGATCTTCCAAGCCTCTGTCCTGTGGGCATATTAGAACCTTGGCCTAGGCAGTCTGTCCCCTTTGACTTGCTTGCTCAACTCCAAACTATTCTTTCAAGCCACTAGGCAAATGTTCCTGCCTCAGGAAATCCATTCCCTCATTCTTCGTTCCCTACAACAAAACCAGCTTTGTTCCATGTTGTTTGGGATTCACATAAAATGGTGAATTAGAGATTCTTCCCGTGTTTTAATTACTTGTTTATAAAACCATCTCTCTAGTAGAATTTGAAATATATCTGAGGAAAAGAATTTTGTCTTATTCCTTGAGGCAGTCTATGTAGCATATCTGTTATAATACTTGGTACTTGTTAGGCTAACAAGAATGCTTGTTGAATAAATGAAGCTCTCTTATAAGACATTCCTAAATCTTCGGTTATGAACACAGGTGAACACATATCTGTGATCTGAAATTAGGTAAATTTTACCCATATTATGGACATTCAAATCACTTACATGAAAAGTATTGAACTCTGAAAACCTTCATTATAAATTCACGAGATCTTTAACCTAATTGTAACATTCACTTATGAATGTATCATTAAGGCTTATAGTAAATACAGTCACGGTCCAGTCTCAACAGAAAGCATATGCATGTATGTATATTAGCATATTTCCCTGGAACAGAAGCATAGGTTTGAGTTTAGAAGGCATCGTGATAATCATCAGTTTTTAAGAAGTCGACAGATGTGCACTTTAATGACACATTAAGAAGCCACTGTTTTTCCAAGTACATTGGCAAGATTTTTTTTTTTTAACAAATGAAACATCTATATATTCAATGAATGTTTAACCTGTATTCACTAAGGTGCTTACTTTTATATTGCAGAGCTATTTTTCTTAGTCCTATAAAAGTGAAATAATATTTACAGAAAAAACAATGTCCATTCTTGGAAGATTGATAATATATAATAAACTACAATTTCTCTTTAATTAAAGATGAAACTATAGCTTGTACAAACTATTGTTTTCCTAGTGAATTTTGCAGAGAAGAAAATATACAAAGAATATTCACTAACAATGAATGAGTAGTTACCTCTTACTGCAGAAGTATAATCTATATGCTCATGAATTTATTATTTAAAGCAGTGAATAAAAATATAGCAAGAATTTTTCTAATTCTTTTTTTGTTTGGCTTTACAGAAGATTGTGTGATTATTGCTCACAATTAAATAATGCTGTCAGAAGCCATTGTGATAAATCTTGTTGAAGAATTATAGAAGTAAGGCCAGATACGGAAACAAAAGTCTTATATAAATGTATACAGTATGAAAAAAGCAATAAGTGAAAAGAAGCTATAACCAGACTCAACTCAAAGCAGCTATAGTGAGAATGTTGGAGAAGATGTGTAAATGATTTTTGAAATTATTGAGATTAAATATAGCACAAAAGTATTAGAAAAGGTTCACAAATCTTGTATTGTTGTGACACTTTTCCATTACCCTGAATGCTTTACAGAATGCTAGCAACAACTATTTGCATGAAGCTCTAAACATAGAATGCCAGAAAAAGAAAATCAAAATGTTAGGTACCTCCCACATATGCACGATAACTAAACATTAAACACAATTCTCAAAAATGTTTATTTCTTTGCTATTTATATTTCTGGTGAATTTAAGTGGCTAAAAAACCTTCACGAAGGCTTGAGTTTTTAGGCCTGGCTACACAGCCTTTAAACCTCTAGGAAAGAAAAAAAATGCCAAATACCTTATATACAACTTCCTACAGTTGAATCCCTTTAGACTTTGCTGCTGATGGAATGGGTTTACTATTTAAACACAGCAAAAGTCATTTGGCTCTCTCCTCAAATTATTTTTTTTTTCTAAAGTAGATGTACTTGAATTCAACAATTGCCTCATTTTTAAAATGAGGTTAAAAGAAAGAGAATATGTTATTATAGAACAAGCACATTTAGAATATCATGTTTTGAAGGATTGTCACATAGTGAAGATTTTTCTTAACAGCTTCAGAGTATCGGCTTAACATTTGCTCTGAGGTGAGGGGTGGAATGTCCTGGTGTTAGTGTAAATGCTGAAATGCATTCATTTAAGAGGAAAGAATTGCTGAATTATTAGCAGTTTCTATCAGTCATTTTATAGCCACCTTGAGATGCAAAAGGTGATTTCTATTATGTTGGAAAATTGTAATACACAAGACAATAAGGGAACTGATCTTTGACTAAAAGGTACTTTCTTTGGTGCAAGCTTCTCTGGCTAACTCCATGTTCAGTCACTGCAGCAAGTGTAGCACAGTAAAATTCTGAAATGCATTTTTTAAATTATAATTTTTTCTAGCTGTTCAGTTTTATGTGTGTGTATCACCCAGGATGGAGTGCAGTGGCATAATCATAGCTCATTGCAACCTCAAACTCCTGGGCCCAATTGATCATCCCACCTCAGGCTCCCAAGCAGCTAGAACTACAGGAACTCTCCACCATGCGTGGCTATTTCAATTTTTTATAGAGACAGGGTCTTGCTATGCTGCTCAGGCTGGTATCAAACTCCTTGCCTCAAGCGATCCTCCTACCTCAGACTCCTAAAGTGTTGAGATTACTGGAATGAATCCCTGCACCTGGCTGGTTTTCAACAAGTAAAGCCAGAATTTAAAGGTCAAATCTATTGTCCCAGGGAAAGTAGGAAACAAACAAAATTCAGTGAGAACAAAAATGTAAATCATTGGCTTTCGAAAGCCAAAGTAGAATTTTGCAAGTCTGTAGTACAGAGAACAGACTGAAAGTAGAAGCACATTTTGTTTGCAAAAGCTAGACTTGGTTGAGAGGTAAAAGTTTCTCTTTTTTAATCCCTGAAGTAGAACTTTGAATATATCAATGGCAAAGCCTTAAGGGGAAAAGAGTTTATGCTATAATCCATCAAGTGAGGAATAATACACTATCAACAGTTTCCTCCCCTGAAATCTAGATACACAAGACAAAGATTCAGAGAAGGGAAGAAGAAGAGGGAAAAAAGATATTAACCAGTTTTTCTAAAGAAACTGAATTATAATCCAAAATAGATTGAATTTTCTAAATGGGCAAGATTAAGTTTAGCTACCCAGTGTATATAAGCTCAGAGAGTTAAGCGAAATTTAATTACGTGAAAACAAGTTTCCATTTTTGCATACCTGGCTCCATAGCTATAAATAAAAAACACATTGCATAGGCAACTACACAAATGTTTAACAAACAAAAACAAGAATACAGTAATTTTTCTGTCTTATTTACCCAAATTACATGAAATTAAAAAAGAGAATGCATTAGTATGTATGTAAGTTAATTGTTGTTTATCTATCTACTTAAAGATGGTCAAAATTTGCTTGACAAGAGTTTAATTATGATGATTAGTTTTCAAATTAAACAATATCCCATAGAAAGATATAAGCAAAACCTAGTTTAAGAATACAGAGTATGCATATAGTTAAATGTAAAATGAAAGATTTCTTGTTCCTATTTTACATCCTAAATCCTTTCTTCCGTCTCTTCTCTCCAAATTCTTACTATATGTTAGAAAATGTAGATGGTATA